AATAGGACAAGCAATAACTGAGCAGTACTAAATAAGAACTGGATGAGACAACTCATAGTCAGCAGAACAAGAACAGTCTATTCACATATATTAAATATAGGATTCAGTTGGAATTTCCCTGAAGGTTATCCAGATTGACAAGTATCTGATGAAGGCTGGAGGGAACAGCAGCTGAAGCATTGTGATAATGACAACAAAGATGATTACAACAGTATGCCTGTAAATAACTCATTTCAGAAAGAAATGGATTTATTTTTCTTTTTTTTGTTTAAGATAACAATTCAGTAAGTTAACACTGTTGTCCGAATTGTTATATCAAAGGCTATTCTTGTATAGTTTTCATAAAAATTGCCCCCAAATATTTAGGTTAAGCTGTTAGGATGGGTATTATGGCATTAATCCTCAGAAATAATGTTAGATTGATGTTTGAAAACAAACAAAAACATAATGATAGGATTAACATACTGAATACTTGTAGCTTATTTCTGCTTAGTCGAGTTGTTTTCTGTTTATATGAGGATATTAAATATTAATATAAGCACTTTCTATATAAGATGCTAAAAAGTTCTAAACCCAACCCACTTCCCACAATCTGAAAGTTATTTTGTCATTGTTCTTTTTATTTAGTAAAGTATCAGATTACTGAATCCTTGTTCTTTCATTATTTTTTAATTTATTTCAGGTCTATAACTGAATCCTGTTAATACAAAGTGTGGAAAAATCCATGAATGTATGATAGACTGTGTAACAGGTACTAATCATCTTCAGTTTTGAAGAAAGTGTACCAACTTTCTTTGTAGAGATTTTGGGACCTGAAATGCAACAGTCTGGGAGATTTTCAATGGTATTGAATTGCTCCAAGAATTGCTGATCCTGTTCATGACCTAATTTTAAGCAAAAGACTTGCTGAGACAAATGATGTCCAGGGAACATATTAGTTTTATAATTCATGAACATTTGGTTATGCAACTGCTAACCAAGTGAATGTCAAAATACTTGAATGCTGACCATAGACAAGTAGACATCTCCAAATTGATTTTGTAGCATTTTCAGTGATTCAGTAATAACATTTTTTTTTGTTTTATGAAAAAGATATTTTGAGGAGTGTCTCTCTTCAGAAAGACAAATAGTTAATGTGGGGTATTCATCAAATTTGTTGGACTGATTAAAGTTAGTATTGAAAGAAAAATGACAAGAGGAAGTTACAAAAAGGTGTTGCCTTTCTTGCAAGACAAAGCACCTGCTGAAGCATTTGGTAAAACAATGGATGTTTTTAAGAATATTGAGTTTGAGGGCATAGTCTATCTTCTCTGCTTACAAGATGTTCTAGCTGACCATTCCTTGTTTTTGAACCTTAAAATAGTAATATTAGTTGTTTTTTTATAAGAAAATATTGAGCATTCATTGAATGTGCAGATTTTACTACTGTCGGTTAAAATTTATAAAATCCTTCTCTTAAAACAATTTTTCAGAAAATGTGTTCCTCGAGTCCAGTAGCTATTATCTCTTTTTCCAGTATCGATGGAGGCTTTCTTTCTAACCTTTTATTTCAAGATGTGTGAAATGTCAACATCTTGATTATGTCATTATTTTCTCTTCAAGTTGCATGTAATATCCATTTTAGTCGTTGCTGATGAGGTTTGAAATGTTTCCATATTGGGGTCATCGCCAGACGTAAGATTTTATTGGCTGATAATGTTCCTCTATTAGATCAATACATTCAGTGGATTCGGAACTTGGAAGGTAGTTTCTAATGGATGAAAATAGGAATTCTACATTGATACGGTCATATGCTGCTGTAAGGTTAACCTAGCAGTCATACAATTTTCTATTAGAGGACTATACAATATCCTGGAGTTGTTTGATGACATGTTATCATTATATTCCTTACCAGAATGAAAAATAAAACTGGGTTGTGGAGTTTACTTTCATAAAATGATGAGACCCTAGTTAATGTTCACCATAATGGATCCAGTTGAGATACCTCTGTATGTGTAATGTCTTCAGGACTACGTTTTTGTTTCTGTAACACATTAACGTGTGATAAGCTCTTTTATTTTTATTTTTTTAAAGGAGTTTGAAAGAGGGGAAAGTTTCAGATGATTATCAAAGCTTACTATATTAGTGAACAAACCTTCAAAATATTTGTTTTTGGAAAAGTTAAAGAAACTTAAGCAATAAGTCAAATGTGCATGTACATTTTATAACTGGCATCATTCCTTTTTTGGTCAAACTCTGAGTTTTCAGTCCCCTCATCATGTTTATAATTAGTCTATTTATAAATGTTTCATATGTAAATATTATTTTGGGATTTTAAAAACATATTGCATGATCATCTGTCATCAACAATGCTTTGTATTGTAAAAATAAAAGCAATCAACTTTTTTTTACAGTGTTAATAACTTGTTTGGAGGTCAATTTTTTCGCCTACACAGATCAGAAAAAAATATCCAGAGATTAACCTTGAATGCAGCTATTGGTTATAACAGAGAACAAAATGAGAACAAAGCATAAATTTCAAAAAACTGGATATTACATAATTTCCTTTGTCTCTAAACATGTTAATACAGTGCACGTGTTCATTTAGATCAATGGGTTTATTTGGTTTCACTAGTAATTCAGTGGTTTTTATTTGTATACAGTTACTTTGCAATCTCATTTCTATAGATTTGATTTTAACAATAATCCTATTAAAAAAAAGTCTTTATGAAAATTATATATTAAATCTTTTAGCTACAATTTAGATTTGGTGATAATCTTACAACCAGCACTTGATGCTTTCTACATCTGATATATTTGTTTTAATATTATGGATGGGGAAAACCTTGTATATAAATTTCTATCATCTCATTGACCATCTTTATTGATGACTTACTCTTTTGATGATAATGACATTTCTGGTTCTGTGCACTTTCCACTTCAGAATTATTTCCAAGTTGATTTGCTCAACTATTTGGGTCAAGTCGGTGTTGTGAGTTCAATAACTGGTCACAACAGAGGGAACAGAAATTTGGAGAGTTGAGTTATCAAGGGAAATTAACTAAAACTGAGTTATCCAAAGGCATGGCACATGGAATTAGAAAAAATCAACCCCAATGAACTAAATAAAAGATTTGGTTCAAAATTCCAATAAGTATCATGTGAAGAAGGCCAGAGTGTACAACTGCTGAAACATTGTTAATATGTCAGTAAAGATAACAACAGCCTGAACAATATAAATAGTATAAATGATATATTTGATGTTCTGTTTGTTTTTTTTTGTTTTATTACTTTACTGCATAAATATAAAAATATTTTAAGAAAAAATCTTTTATGTATAAGTGGAACACTAATAAAATAAGTTCATTAGCTAAAATTTGAACTGACACTTCTATAGAAAAACATTGTGCTAAGTGCATTGACAAGTAAGATTACATTAATAAATACTTGTAAAATAAATATTTTTTTTCTATCATTAGGCCATGTGTACCTGAAAAAATCTTTTGCAAGATATTTGTATTGAGTCATCTGTATAATGTTGAAAATATTGAAAACAAATTTCCTAATGAAAGCACATGAGAATGTTATTTTCTTTTCTTTTTATTTTCTTCATCCAATACAAGTTCAAAGTGCCACCCAAGATAGAGGGTTATTAAGTGAGATCATAAAGAAGGGGGAAGTATGAATATTATGGGGACATTCTCCTGAGAGATTGTTCCAAAAAGTAACAATTCAGGGGAAGAAGCTGTCAGAGTGGAATGTGTTCCTTATCAAAGGACCAGGAGAATGGAGATGGTTGGCCAGTGAAAACACTGCATGGTGGATCAGAGGTGGAACTAAGGAATATAACTTGTTCAAACATCTGCCACAGTAATAGCAATATAGTAGTGAAAGGCTGGTGATATTTGAATGTTTTGTCTGGTATAAGGGTTGCAGGGTAGAGAACAATTCATTACCCACAAGACTGCATAAGCACTTTTGAAATCTATCTAATAGAATTTGGGATCCCCCTCCATTATATATGTTTGCTAGTGTCTGTAAAAAAAAATAAAAATAAAAAATAAACAGTGTGTGATAGATAAATTGTCATCTAAATTATGCAAAAATGAAAATAACACTGACATCTGATTTTAAGATATATTTAGCAAAATTACACAAAAATATCTTGAAATAGTAAAGAGTAAATTTATTCAATAAAATCGCCATTGGCTTCAACCACAGCTTTCAGATGACTTTGGAATCTCCTGCAACTCTTCCAGACTTGTTTAAGTTGGTGAATGCTGCCATAATCCTTACCTTCAGTTCATCTTTGGTGTTACAGGGAGTTTTGTTGGTCTCCCGTTCAACTGTGCCCCCACAGGGGATTGCAGTCTGGAGAGTTATGTGGCAAGATATAAGGGGTGATGTGGTTGCAGAAATTGTCTGACAGCCATGACTGGATTCTCCTGCTTGTGTAGCATGGTGCAGAGTCCTGTTGCAGCCACCCACTTGACCAAGAGCAGCACTACCTCTTCAAGGCACTCTGTTGAGTCTGAGGCCCTCACCAACAAATTCAGGAGTTATTTTTTTATTAGAATGATAAGTGAGTTTTCTGAGCCAACAGACCTTCATAATCACCATTAGTCATTCAACTCTTTCTGAATCCTTTGCACTGCCCCAAGATTGACATCCAAACACTCTGAAATGTTTGTATTGGAGCTTCTGGTGTGAATGCCAAGCAGTACAGCATGCCATTTCCAAATTTCTGACTGAGTGAATTCCAAGGGCTCCTGATCTGCAAGCCCATACAAGGTCATATGTAAATCCAGTTTTGTATATACACCAACAATTTCTACTTTTCACCTTATTTGTCTGGGGAGGTGATACCAACTGTGGCTTCTAGTTGAAATATTGTGATTATAACAATGAAGATGAGGATAACAGTTTGAAAAAATGTAGTATGCTAATGAAACTTGTTTCTAAAGCATTATTTAGTTGAATACAAATACATATTAACTGCCTTTTTTAAATTTTACTTTCAGTAAAAATGCAGTATTTGATAATTTGAAAGCAATTCAAGGAGGGATACCTATTGTTTTCCGTAAGTAAACATTTTTTCTTTCTCTTTTTTTTTTTTCTTTTTTTTCTTTCAAGTCATTATCTCTTTCTGCCTTTTAATGTCTCTAAAAAGTCGATGCAGCAATTGGAAATATCAAAGACCTATCTTTTTAATTATAAATAGTTATTCAAATAATAATCAATGAAGTCCTTTGATGCAACAATAAAATGAATTATTTAACATACAATATGGAAAACGATAAGAAAATGTTGTGCTATTTTGGATTATTGTACACAACTGTTTAAAGAGAAGTGCCAAAAAATCAGATAGTCACCTAATCCCGTGTAGCTTGTCTTTTTTCCTTAATAACAGCAGCAATGTTACTTAGAGTAGTTATATGATTATATCTCGTCAGTTGTGTTATGGTGCTGTCCATAACTGGGTTTGTTGAGTGTGGCCTCGGGAATTTAGTGTGGTCTACAATATGCTCCATATATGATCAAAGGGATTTAAATCTGGCAAGCATATGGGCTACTGGACTACCTATAACAATGCAACATGATATGGGTTCTGTGAGATGTTGGAATCCTTGATTGTTATATCTTCTTGGGAATATTCTAGGATTACTCATAATTGAATTGTTTGTTGAGTATGGCTACAGTGAGTTTATTGAAGATTTCAATATGTCCTATATATGCTCAATGGGGTTTAAATCTGGTGAGAATTGGGGCCAATGGAGTAACTTGAAGTCACCCAAATGTTCCTGGAACCAATCACTCAGATTCAATGAGGATATTGCATTATCTTGCTGCTAAAAAAACCATTGTCGTGAAAAATGGCAAGCATAAATGGATGCAGATTGTCAGCAACTAAGTCTAGAAATCACACTTGTCAAGCGAGATTCCAGTTTCACTTGTAGTCTTTGTAACCTTCAACAGAACACACCAAGAGAGGCACAGCCTGCTTGCACAACACCCTGCTGACAGACTTGTGTGGTCTCCTCTATGCGTACATTCAATTATCAGATACAAAGGACCTGAAGACATGACTTATCTGACCAGATAAGTTTTTCACAATTCAAGGGTGATGTTCTTAGGCCAGGTGAGGTACAGTAATTAATATCCTTGCATCAATAATGGTATTTATGTTGGCCAATGACTACAAAATCCCATAGACTGCACCATACACTGTAAAGTGCATTAACTAGAGTATTGATTGGTACCAGATTTGAATTGGGATGTGATTTAAACTAAGTGTTTATCATTATAAGGTGCTGGGGGTTTCATTCTTGCACCTACAGTTTTTATGTGTTTCCAGAATTTACAGATTCCTGGTATTATTTTTCTATTTTTGTCCAAGAGAAACCTTGATTAGTTGCCACTTTTATAGTGCTCCTATCTTTCTCACCTTGGCTTATGGCCACATTGAAACACTGCTCCCCATACAATCACTGAAGTTAAGCAATGTTAAGCCTGGTCAGTACCTAGATGTGTGACTGTTTGGGAATATCAGATAAGTTTGGATGTGCCAGTGGTGTAATGAATAATGGCTTCTAATTTTTAATCCAGAACAGAGTTCCAATTCTCGTTCAGTTCCTAATATTTACTTATGCACTAATACACTTGGGAAAGGTATGAATTCACCTCTTCTCCCTCAGCTATGTGTTAATTGGACTTGTAGCATAAAACCATTATCTAAAAAAGAAAAAAAAATTATAATGTAAAAATATTAATGAATCAAAACATTTCTCACCTTATCAATTATTGTGGTCAGATGATGTTAATTCTGTATGCGTCCAATGGCTACCACAGCTACACAGCCTTTTTACACATTGTCACTTATAAGTGAAAAACTTTTAGTGCACTGTTGTATCTAATATTTTGCTACTTTAGTTTCATTTTGAATAAATTGAAATTCTAATATATTTCCAATGTTAGAAAAATACTAAATTATTAATGTCCAAAATAGTAATTGACCAGCATTGGTTTAGTACTGTACTGTTCAAAAAATGCCAAAATTTAATTTTTTTTAATTATTCTTGTGTATTGATTATTATGAAGGGAAAATGTTTCACAACTGAGAGAGGTCATCTGGTGACATTGACACTTAAAAAGGCTTTATATGTAATAGGGTAAAGTAAAGCTACCAATTTTTTAATAGGGTAAAGTAAAGCTACCAATTTTTTATGAAGTTAGACTTCATAAAAGGGGTGATAAAAAATTCCATTGGATTTTTTTCTCAATATAGTGTGCAACAAAGAAAAAAAATGAGCAATGAGTTTAATAAAGAAAAACCCAAAAAGCCTCAATGTTTTCAGAATTAACCGTATTAAATGGCATATTTACCATTGTTCTGTCCTATTATCTTTCCAATAATTGCTTCTTCCTAAATGTTATGGGTAAGAAACTAAGTTATCTTTTGCAGTCTTTCAAAACCATGATTTGCTGAGAGACCTTTTGACATAAAGCTTAAAAGAAAAAATTTGAAATTATGGACAATTTGTAAGTGAAAATTATATACAGATCAGTCCAAACTCAATACATGGATGCCACATTCTCTGATGGAACAGAAAAAGCAGTGATTTCTTTGCTGTTATAATGCAAAAAGGAGCTGTTCTTGGACAAAATTGTTGCAGGTGATGAAAACTGGATCTTTTATAACATTCAATACAAACAGAGCCAGAAACAAGCTTGTTAATATGTTTGTTAATATTAATAGACTTCATATTGCAAAACAGATCTTGCAGAAGCTTAGAGTTGAAATGGGACCCTACCCTCCAGTACTTACTGTATTCTTATAACTTGGGTTTTCATTTGTTCTGGTCTCTACAGAAAATTGACTCTATACTCAGTTGAAAACTACCTCACAACAAAAAACACAAAGTTCCTAGGAAAATGGCATCAGCAAGCTTGTAGAATAATGATGGGAGACAACTGTTAAAAACAATGGAAACTATGTACTCAATAATTTTTTTTTGTTTTGTTTTTGTAAAATTTTGTTTCTAATTCAGTACAAAAAAGTTTGCAATGATTATTTGCTTATTTACTTTTTCAGTATTTCTAATAAGTTTTTTGATCTCTAGCTGTCATTGGAAAATAAATAAATAAAATAAAAAACAAACGTGTATGCCCATGTAAATGTGAAATGCAATAAAAGCCAACATGTGAAAACCAATATTTAAAAAAACTTAAACTGGCAAAACGAACATTTTGAAAATAGCTAGTGTCTGTTGCTCTACTCTTGGTATTGACCCTCTTTTAAATAAATGCTATGAACGTTTGAATTTATATTCTCATATTTTATGTTCTCATTACATTTGAAAAATATATATAGTAATTCGAGTCTAGAAGAATCCTCAACAGAATGCAGAAAGCACTGGATGGCCATTTCATCCTATTTGGGACTCATCAGCAGTGCTCATCCACTACTGAGAATTGAACCCAGACCATTATGATACAATGCAAACATCATACCACTGAACCAATGGGCCTCAGTGACAAAGAAGAAACTGACTAGACTTGATATATTGCTGCTACTCACTAAATTCTGGTGGTGATACTCCTCCAAGTATACGTAACCTAATGGATTGTGTCCCAAGAGACAAGTTTTCCTCCCAGAAGCCACTCACCTCAGAGCATTAGAAGATGGATCAAGCAAGGGTATACAAGTGATAGAAATTTAAGTACCTATCTACTCGTATTTAAATCTTAAAATTCTTAAATTATAATGTAAGAACATTATCATCTCTCCTGTTTCACCTTTCATCCAATTTCTTTTTGGTAATTAAATGTTACCTTCAATAATAAATAACCGTTCACTTTCAACAGAAGAGAGAGGTGCTGATAAATATTTCTTAATTAAAAACGTTATGATGGGAAATGCATTTTTATTTGAATTCTACTACTGAAAAACATTATCATCACTTTTTATATTTTTTAATGCAATATACTGGGTGATTGAAAAGTAACTATCAGTTTTATATAATTCCTGCCAAAGGAAACATAAATTCCTACCAACACCCTTATATGTTCCAAAGGAAGATATAAGGTTGGTAAGCTGATTGAAATTCCTTATATGGAATTTTATTTTTAATTTCTACTTAAGAATAATTGAAAATTTTAATTTTAAAATATAATTTTATATAAGATTCTAAATGTTTTTTTTCTAGGTTTTTAAATGCAGACAATGCTTTTTTTTTTTTTCTTTTATAAATAAAAATATGATTAAAATTGTCTCAAAAGAACAACAGAACATGAATTCACTTTGTGTTTATATTACTTAATTTTGATCATAAATGGGTAAATTAACAATGTTTAAAAAGAAATTAAAAGTAAAATTTTATTTTGAACTGAAACACTTTAAACTCTTAGACTTTATGGAAAGTTTGAGAACTGAGTAGAAACTTTTTTTATACAAATAAAATAAATTAATATCATACTTGCATATTATTATGATCTATAGATTTTAGTTTTACTAATAGTTTAAAATTAATAAAGATTTATATCTTTTTATCATTAGTACCAGGAATGGAAAATTAATTTTTAAACAAAAAATTTAAAAAATCCAAAGAATTGTTTTAGGAACAGAAATTAGGTTAAAAATTCTCTGAGTTCAATGCTGATTCCAATACCCCAAAAGGTTCCAATATTTACAATTCTTGATTGATTGTCCCATCATATATATATATATATATATATATATATATATATATATATATATATACATATATTAGTGTGGGCACTGAGATCAACACTAAGTGGCTACAGTCTCTTTCATGTCTGAATGCAATATTTAGGCCATGTCTGAAGATTGTGTTCAACCATGAAACAGACTGGTCACTTGATGTTGACTTCAGTGTCTACTTTTTATATTTTATATTTATATATGTTTTGACTATAAATATAGCATGTCTTTAAAATAAACACACACACATATATTTGGGTATAGATAAAAGCCTAGGCAAAAAAAAATGTGGTGAGGGTGGCAGGTTCAATTTTAGGACCTGCCAAAAATCCTTGGCTTTTTACAAAAAAAAAATCAAACTTAACTTCTATAAAGCTGTAATGTTAGTATATTCAGTTTATCTAAAACAATGTTACTGCTTAGCTCTCTGTTACTGGGTGAATTTTACTTGACCACTAAGCATATCCTGCTTGCTATTAATGTTTGAAATTGACCAGACCACCAACAGTCATTAATGATTAATTTAAGTATTTGAAGCAAAAAAGATCAACAAATTATTTGAGTGAAATGCTTGTAATTCACTGACATTTTTGTCTTCAAATACTTAGTTTATCACAAGAAGCAAATGGCAACAGTAAATTAGATTAGTCAAAATTTATTCAGATGAGTTACTTTTTTGTAAACTTATATCTTGTAAGTAAGTGTGTGGGTTAGAACATTAGCGTTCTGATTGTGAGACCCAGGTACAAATCTTACTAAGATTAATTTATCAAGGAGGTGACTTCTTGATAATATCTGGCTGTGGGAGCGGATCCCAATGTATGCCACCATTGGGAAGTGTCTGAAAACATCACCAAACATTGTACTTCATAAGTGAGATTGGATAAATGAAATTGTTTGAAATCTGTCAATGGTTGTGCTAGCATGAAGTAACAAGTCATCATGGTCGAGGGTTTGAGCATACTGGTCTTGTTCAAACTGGTGATCATGCCAAATTATAGGTTCTCACCTAAAGTCTGTAAATAAGATCTGCTCAGCATAGTTGCCATAAAAATGTCATGTTGGCTTTGTGGGTGTTGAACAAAAACACAAATCTACCTGAGCAGGAATCTACAAGGATTAATTAGCCACTTAATCAGATGGGCATATTGGGATATGAGTGGCCAGCATAAGTTTTTGTGTGATGCATTTCATACTTTTTAGATTTCATTGAACTAGTGATGTTTACATTGATGATTTAATCACAAGATCATCCACAGTAAATTTATGTCCAGATTCTTATAATACTTCACCTTTCTTGGTGATCACAATGTGGGATATTTAATAACAAAAGTGATGAAAACAAAATGAAATCAGCTAGACCATTTACCCAAAATATATATTTAAAAAAAAAATTAAATTTAAAAGCATGGAACCGGAAGAGTTCCATGTGCAAGAAAAACTGTTGGCGTAGAACTTATGGTTACATCTAACAAATTCAAATGTAAATTGATGAGACCTTATCACCAATCTAGTACTAATTCATAAAGTCTAGGTACTATAGCAAAGAGTTCATCTGAATTACAATAAGTATAAAAAGAATATAGCAGGTACAAAATTTTTGTTTTGTTTTCTTTTTTTTTTTCTTGCTCACTAGCAATTCTATTTTTTCTGCTTGATTTGAAGAAAAATTATTTACGAATCAATAATTTTACAAACGCAGGATCTTTTTAATCTGGTCAAAAAATACCTTTTATTCTCATTTTTTTCAACTCTGTATTTTAACAATGGCAAGTAAAATAAAAGTTAAGTGAGCCACATTGGCTATTAGACTATGAAATAGTATATAATTTTACTTTGTTGTATCAGGCCAAGACATGGAGAATGGGATCCATCTTGATGACCTATCTTGTAGCCATCATTTCTTTTCCCGTTCTGACTACATTTGAATAATTTTTATCAGTCATTAAAACTTGTCTGTATTTAATAGTAATAACACAGTTTTATGCCTTTAAAAAAAACAAACCAAAACCTGTCAAACAGTAAATTAACAGAGGATAACACAATCAAAACAAGATCATCTTTGCAAATGAAATGCTCAATGATAAAAAAATAAAAATAAGCTACAACAGTGAATAGATAAATAAAAATTCAAATGACTTATCTTCTGATTTGAAGTTTAACAGGAACACATCTGCTCATCAGAGTAAGATGAATAACAATAAAAAATATATGTACTTAATTTGGTACTAATTTCATTACATGTTTGATAAAATGGAAATGTTAAATATCTATTGGCTTATGGCCACATCACGTTGAAATACCAATTCCTGTATGATCACTGAAATTAAGCAATGTTGAGCCTGATTAGTACCTAGATGGGTAATCACTTGGGCTATACCAGGTGTTGTAAGTTTGCATGTGTAGATGGTGTAATGGATAATGGCTCAGAATTGTTAGTCGGACAGCTGTGTTCCAATTCCAGTTGGGTTTAATATATTCACTTACATGCAAATAGCCTTGGGAAACATGAATCCACTTCTTCCCTCAGCTACTTTTTTTTATTATTTAATTAAAATTTTTAATCATTTTTTTTTAGCACATTTAAAATTTTAGATAATTTTTTTTTTTTTTTTGTGTTAGCAGTCAATGTAATATCTACAATTAGAGTTTTAGTGCCTTTTTTCCTGTGAAAAATACATTTATTTGGAAATTCTTGCAAAAATCAAATAATTGTTAGATATGGATAAATCTTTAAGGACTTCTGAAAGTGAATGAAATCATTTTGGAAATTTTTTTTGTTTTAGAATATCTTGGTGAATTCTTTTTTTTTTTTTTTTTTTTACATGTTACCCTCACTTAATTTCATGAAATTTTGAGAAATTAAATTGCAAAATTTGTTTTATCAGTTAGAAGCAGGAAAGAATATAAATCATTAATTTTTTTTTTCCCCTCAAACTGTTACTCATTTCTTGAAAATCTGCTTGAAATCATAAAATAAAAATGCAAAAAACTGACATCATTTAATTAGAAACATTTTTAACTGCTTTTAGAAATAAGATTTATTAAGGAGACTATTGTCTTAACAAAATTTTTCGATGAATAATGAATTTTTACAAGAATTGTTTACATTTTTTTTTTTTTTTTTTTTTTAATTATAATAATTTTGTTAAATTTTTTAAAAAAATCTTAAAATTCTGTTGTACTTTAATTGCATTAGGTGATATTGTTATTTAGTGAAAATTATATTTACTAATCAAAAATTGAAAGTTTAATATAACTCATTTTGCACCAAGATTTTTAAAATAATTTTTATATTTTTTTATGTATATAAAATATTATGTAATGTGCCCATTTTGGTCAACCTTATATGACATTATCAGAAAATAAGAGTGATGACTATAGTAAATTTAAAGTCAATATTCCTAAAATTAGATTACAGAGAATATTTTCCAACATTTCTAAGATTACTGAGTACTTAAGAATTGTATAAAAAAGGCACTCACATCATTTCCTTAAATTATGTTTTACGGATAATGTCAACGTAGAACAATAATAAAGTTGTGAATACTTATCAGTCATGTAACATAGCTATTGTCTGTTAAGAAAACACAGCTACTGTTTCTTTTAAAAATACATTTCTGTGTTAATTTAAATTTAAAGTAAATTGCATTTCAAATGAGGTTAATTATACTTTAAATCAGCTATTATTCCTCAAATAAAGTTTCAAAAAAGTATATTTTATTTTTGGAAGATTTTTTTAATACAGAGAATTACATTGTGATGAACAATTACTAAAAATAAAGAAAAGGCGCTAATCTGCTATTTTAGAAAAAAAAATTAATTCCAATCAATATAATTTCTGTTTGAAATACATCAGAGTATTTTGCTTACTGGAAATAGTAAATTTAATACTTTTATCTTTCAATTAAATCTAAAATGAAAGCCTCAAAAATTTTTCATTTTTAAAAATTAATTTTAAACCTTAGGTATCATGAATTAGCAGAGGTCTCTATTTTTATTCAAATGTTTTTTTATTGGATACCCGTGTTTGAAATAGATGCTCCTTTTTCATTTTAAACAGTGTATATTACTTCAGTAGAACTTTGTGGCCTAGCAGTCAAAAGCATGTTGGATTAAATGGTGGTTTCTTCTACAAAGTGAGGTACAGGTTTGAACCCTGCCAAAGAGCACATTCTTTAAATTTTCTTTAGTGTGCAGACTAGTAAACACATAGTATACACTGTTTAAAAAAACAAAAAAACCGGGTGTCTATTCAAATATATCCACTATCCACTTTGCAAATATATATTTATATATATATATATATATATATATATATATATATATATATATAATATATGAATAAATTCAAATATAAACTTTGTCATTTACCTGATTGATGTTATATTCAGCACCTAAACTCGAGATTTTCAGACAAAAATTTTTGTAATCATTCAATCCACCCATCAGGTGGTATCAGCATTGTCTGGATTTTCTCATTTTCTGTTATTTTTATATTAAGTTGAAAAAAAAAAAAAAAAAATTTGTGTGCTTTTTGTTGGTGTTAGGTTGATTTATTTTCTTTTTCTGTGTTTGCATGTATGTGTAGAATGTTGTGGTTATTTTTCCCTTTTCTAGTCTCCTCATATTCTCTCACTATTTTTCTTTTTTGTCTCTTGTGCGCATATATATATATATATATATATATATACATATACACACACACAGAGTTCTTAAGATTGTTAAATGAATGTGTTATTTACAATTAAATTTGTAACTTTGTTCAACAATTGCAAATGCATTTAAGTCTATTTTCCAGAAAATCCTGTTAGTTCAAAAGATTTTATAAATTTCAATTGACAGTGACGTTGTTTTGTCAATAAATGTCAAATGTTTCCTGTATGGAAATGACTAATTTCACCATGATCCAAAGTCATAACAAAATTTATAGAGAATTTAATTTTTAATAACTGCTTGAAAAGTAATTCTTTACCCCCCCACACACACAGAGCCAACTTCATATGAATTCTCACTCATCTGTCAGATCTGATTACATTTTCATCATCATTTATTCACTTAGTGCATTTTTGTTTGCATCATTGTGGTCACCACTCCCCCTCCATTTCACAATTGTGGTTCATGGTGACATTCAAGGCAGAATAGTGCAGTAGCTTGCCAGTTTATTTTTCATTGGGGATGTTGAGGTTACATTGTCCCTCCTCTCAAATGTTAAAGAGGCACAACCTACAAGGCAGCAGGTGGCTTGAATTTAGAGTTTTCCTTCTAGACTAGTTGCCAACCAAGATTATTGGGACCAGTCCGTTCTGATATTTACCCATAGGTAGGGAGAGAAGAGATGGATTCATACCTCTTCCGATGGTATTAGCATGTAAGTGAATGCAATGAACTCTATTAATTCGAACTCAGCTTTGTGATTCCTCAAACTGGTTCCTCATTTATTCCATTCTGCCTCTAGATTACGTTTTATAGAGTTAAAAATATATACAACAGCCAATGAAATATCTTGTATGAAGATAGTGACAATATATTACATTGTCTTCAAGAAGAGACATCTATTTCTATCTATACTATTTACATTGTTTGAACTGTTGTCCTCATCTTTGTTGCCATATTCAATATGGCAATAAAAATGAGGACAACAGCCTGAACAACGTAAATAGAGTAAATAATTACAATACCTTAGAAATATAGAAGATATATCTATTTCTTTATATATCTATCTATATCTATAAAACAGAAGGTGTGTGTGTGCATGCTATTTATGCATGTCCATATTTCTCAACTGATTTCAATGAAATTGTACACACATGTTGCAAATTTATCAAAGTAGATCAAGACCAACTTTTCAATCATTCCATCTCTCTCTGTATCAAATGTCTCTCTCTCTATATATATATATCATCTCTCTCTCTCTCTCTCTCTCTCTATATATATATATATATATATATATATATATATATATATAATTATTATTTATAAAAAAAATTATAACATAAGTATGTTATAAAATCTCTACAAAATAGCCATTTTGTTTCAACACACTCTGTGTCTTATCAAGTGATGATGTTGAAAATAAAATAACTGTTGGTTATTGGAATTCATTCCATATATACCAATTATATACTTGTATGTATGTATGTATGTACGTATATATATATATATATATATAGTTTATGCAAATTTAGGTAATCCGTATGGGTAGACCTGAGGAGGATGATATCCAGAGAGCTCAATGTAAAATTCAGAGCAGATATGTTTGAATAAAAGACAGACCACGTTAAGATTCCATGTAATAAGCTATTTCACCATAACCCCTTTAACAGGGTTCTGGATCATCAGACTTTACTTCCAAAAGCTGAAAGGAAATTCACACGTTTTTTACGGACCTCATCAAGTATACGCAAAGTTAACGAAGTGAGGTGGGAGAGAGGATATGAGTGTGTCATATGTATCATTTTAGTTTCCTATTTTAACCCCAGTGTGTCGGCTGGATGTTGCTCAGATTTAACACGTCTCGTCTCTAGATAAAGGTGGTTAAGGGGTGAACGATAAGAACTACATTAAAGGGAGACGTTACAACAACCCCAATAAATTACACGACAGGTTTCATTCAAATTCTTAGACGCTGTCAGTTCGCGTTACTTTAACGTGCATATTTGGGAGGTTAAGGTTTGATAAATATCTAAATTTTAAAACAATCTACGAAGAAATTAATTTGAAATTCGGTGGAGTTTTGGGTATTTTCTATGAAGCAGTCGATTGGAAAAATCCATAGACAGAACATTGAAAGAGCAATCCAATTTATATTTAGTACTTTTTTTTTTTTCCACTAAAACTTTTATCTTATATCTTGTTAGCTGCAGGTGTATATGTGTAAAGATGGAAATATACATTTATCGTTTCGTGTGAATGTAGGTGTATATAGGAACTCATAGATATAAGAAAGATATAGGTATGATTTTTAGGGTTTTAAGACATGTGTAGAGATAAGAAATTGTAAAAGAAGGGCCTAATTTTCTGCTAGTGACATCTCTTCCAAATTTCTCCTCTAATATTCTCAATTGGAAGTGAATTTTAAATAGCACGAAGGAAAGTTTAGATTAGTATTTTAATTGAGATTTTAAGATACTACCCCCAGTGTGAGAATAAAAAATTATTTAAATGGGAATAGTGTTGATAATTTCAATAAAAACAACCACGAGTTTAAATAACAAAAATCAAAAAATCTTTAATTAATGAACAAAAATAAAAATAAATGTCAACCTAACAAGCTATAAGATAAAAGTTTTAGTGGAAAAAAAAAAAAAACTAAATATAAATTGGATTGCTCTTTCAATGTTCTGTCTATGGATTTTTCAATCAGCAAAAATTAAAACCCACAATTTCAAA